CTCTTCAATATATTATATTATACCAATTCATAAAGAAAATGCTATCACAAGAATTCCAATAAAACATTAACATTTTATATAATTAAATAAAGTTGAAATATAATGTTTTTTTTGGAAACGGCGAATAATATATAAAAAGACCGCACGACTAGCAAGAAACTAGCCGGAGGCAGGATGACAAAGAGTTTACAAATTACAACATAAGAAAGGAGAGCAACATCACTCAATCCATTTACACGAGTTATGCGACCCCCTAAATTTATGCCAAGAGAAAACCAATGAGATGACATCATCAACTTGTTGGATTAGGTGTCTAAGCCCATAACTATAATTGTATATACTTCACCCGATAGTAGCATGGTCCTTTTGAGTTGTCTTCACCGTATCAACTTGACAGAGTGAATTATGAGAAAGAGGTTGATAAATGATTTATTAATATATTATAAGAATAATATATTAATTGAGAAATCATAGTATTTAAATAGTGTTGATTAGGAATTAATTTGGAATTAATTTGGTGATCAAAAGAGACTGATTAAATGTATGGGGACTGATATTGCAATTTACTGTTAGTTGCAAGTTTGGTTGTGGACTCCTAATGGAAGGGGTGGACGAATTCTATGGGAAGCCCATAGAAGAATTCGTCCAAAGGGCCTTCTAGAAGGGTTTCATAGATTGCTTAAGGCCTAAGCAGAGAATTAGGGTTTCGGTCTAAAACCCTAGCAGCACAACTATATAAAGACCCCCTGGCATGAGGATTTCGGCCACTGCATCCCTAGAGGAAACCCTAGTCGAAAATCCTAAGCCTCCATCATCTCTCTTGTGTTCATCCAATTGCTAGTGGCCTTTGTGACTCCATTAGAGGTGCAACAATTGAGACACTAAACTCTTGAAGGTCAAGATCAACCAATCAACAAAGGAAAAGATACTTTTCTAACTATGTTTAAGTTATCAATTTCGAAAATTGTATGCTAGATTAGGGTTCATGCTTTGGATAATAATTTGCACGTATAACTTGAGAAAAACCTAGATCCAAAGCATTAGGGTTGCATGTGCACCATAGGAATGTTGTAGTGCTCAACACCCATCACAACTAACGTCGCAGGGGATTGAGCCAAGTTATTGTAGATTCTGTTATTCTTAGCCTTCCAAATTCGCCAAATAAGCCCATATAGAATGGCTAATAGCCGTTTGCGTTTTTTGGGGCAATTTCCCCATCGGGCACCAAAATCTAGCAACTTTGCCACCTTTGTAAATTGCCCCTGATGAATTCTGCACCAGTTAAGAGTCCTTTTAATGACTTCAGAAGCAAAAGCGCAGCTCATAAGCAGATGGTCTGCAGATTCTTCACCTATATTACAAAGTTTGCAGATCAGTAAGTCAGTTTGAACACCTCGCATTGGCAGAGCAGCTGCTGCTGGAATCCTCCCGTGCTTCTGTAACACCTGGTTTGATTTGGAAAGGTTTATGCATGGGCTCGACGAGTTGGGAGATCAACTCGTCGAGTAGGGTCGTGGTATCATGGAACGCGGGACGAGATTGACTCGGCGAGTCGAAGGTCCGACTCTGCGAGTCTGAGCGGTTTAAAGAAAACCCTAATGTTTGGGGTTTGCCCCTATATAAACATCATTATAAACCCTTGTGGCCTCCCTTATCATGATAAAAGACCGTTTACGGCCGCAAACTCTCGAAGGTGTGAAGTGAGTGCATTTGGGGGCTATCTTTGGGATTTTGGGGAGAATTCCAAGCTTGAAGAAGGAAGTACCAATAGGAAAAGCACTAGATCAAGCGACTATCTCGTGTTGGGCATTCGTTTGAGGTATCAATCTGTCACTTTCGGTTTAAGATCCTTAAATTCTTTTGAGTGTTATGGCCATGAGAGGCCTTGCATACACGTAAAGTTTGCAACTTTACGTGTTATCTGCACTAGTAGAGGATAGATCTAAAGTTTGGGACCCTAAGTCCCACTGGAAAGGGTTCACGGCCAAAGCTGAAATTTTTTAAACAACCATAACTCATTCGTTTTAATTCGGATTGACCTGCGCTTTTTTCCAACATTTAGTTTACAGTTTGTAGATGAATTTAGACTATAATTTTGTTGATTTTGGTATTATATTCAGTGAGTTACAATCCTTCAAAGTTGAGCTATCAAAGCTGAAATATTTCAACTTTTTAACTATTATTTTAGACTATAATTCTGAACTTGATTTAGTTATTATTTTTAACTATTATTTTTAATTATTATTTTAGATTATAATTCTGAATTTTATGTATCTTTGACAGATAAATCATATAAAATGGATCTTGGTGAACTTGATTTATATGTTAGTTGCTTTTATTTGGAAAATTAATTTTGTAAGTTATAATATTATAACATCAAGGTAGATTAGTTATGCATGAAACGAAAATGTGATCATTTTTACAAGTTGTATCGTATCAAACCCAATAACGTATTCGTTTTAACGAGTTCTATCAAACCCAAAAAACTTATTTTAACGACTTGTACTCTATGCAATTAAAATTGTACCGGTCCAAACGGGTCCAAGAACCGAAAAACCAGGACCTGGACCCGGAACCAGACCCGGACACGGACATGGACACGACTCATCCGGTCCGGTCCACGGTCCACAATATTCTCCATAACCGGTCCGGTCCAAGGGCCGGTCCGGTCCGGTTCGGTCCAAATGCTCACCCTAATTTACACGTTTCAACAAATTCAAGGGTTAATATATCACGAAAAAAAGTTTAGTGACTAAATATGATCGAAAGCTAAAATATAATGGATATGATTTATAAGATCTTCTTCAAATTACATTACAGAAGTTAACATTTAATTGCAAAATTGATATCATAAATCATAAGGGCCAAAGTGCCATTATTTATAATTTGAGGGTTCATTACGATGCTTCTAGATTGAAGCTAAAGACACCTCTCGCTCTCAGGTAAAACGAAAAGAAACAAAGCCCTAGAATCCAGCGTGAAGAAGGTATTAAGAGGGTGTTCCAGCGCCCACACACACAACTACCGGCGAGCTTGGACCTTCGACCAACAGGTTCCTTTTGCTTTCGTTCATCCTTTTTTTGTTCTGCTGTATCGAGTTTCGACCCCAACAGGGATTTTTCTTCTCGATTCTTCTTTCTTAAATTTGCCATATGATTCTGTTCTTCAACTGTATAAATCTGTTATTCCTGCATTCTATAAGTCTGTGAATTGGTGCTGTGGTTGTTTGGAATTGATACCGTGAATGTGATCTGTATCATTCTTTTTTTTCCCTCTTTGTTGTTCTCATTAGTTATTCAATTAGAATGCAATTTCAGATTGAAATTCGTTTGTGATGAAAACGAAGCGCCAGGATTTGGAGAACACTACTGACAGTGAAGAACAACACTTGAAGAAGCAGAAATTAACCGAAGTATCTTCTCCATCGCCACCTCAACTTGGATTTGATAACGCTCTGCTTCCGCTTGCAACATACGAAGACGAGGATGATGAAGATGATGAGCGTGATGGTAAGAAAGTTGAGGAAAACGGTCATAATAACCACGAGGAAGAGGAGGAAGACGACGAGGAAGAGGAGAATAATAATGGATTTGGTATAGGGAGGCGTAATAGGGCAATTGAAATCCGTAGAGACTGTCCCTACCTTGATACCGTTAATCGCCAGGTATTTACTTAATCTATTCCGCATTTCCCTTCTCATGGTAATTTGTGCTCCATTAGAGTTGTATGGAGGATTTGGGGTTCGTGTTGGGTTTTGTGTCTAGCCAATGTTTGGGAATAAGTTATCTGTGGCATTTAGGTTTATCAATAGAGTTATCTTCTTCTTCTTCTTATGTGCAGCATTGTGCTTCTGTGGCATTAGGTCTATACAACTATACAAGGTTAGTCCTTAGTTGCCAATGGTATGAATAATTTGATATGGTTAAAGATTAGGTGTACCATGAAGGGAATTTGATATATTATCAGTAAATTATATATGCAGGGTAGACATCAGTATCATGACTCATGAGATTACTTTAGTGGTAGACATGTATCATAAGCTGTGTAGGCAACTGGAAAATGGATAAAGTTAATACTGAATATGCACGAGTCTTCAATTCCGTACCTTAAAAATATTTATGAATCAATAGTATCAAAACTTTATTCATGTCATGTATTTGCATCAGAAATCAGAATGCTTATATATTGAAATGAACAGACTATCTGTCCTATTGATTATGTGTTAGAAGGCGATTAAGTCTCCTACAAAAACTGAAATATAAATCTTTTCATTGAGGTACAAAAAAAGCACTATAGCTTGCTCAATTTTTGGATAAACTGTCATAGTTTTTTCTCAATACAAC